TCGTTGCCCTTTCCGCCGTGCCTCGCATCCAACCCCGACAAAGGTTTTTAGCCGATCGCTCCGTCGCCCGGTCGAAATTCCAATTTTTCATCGACCGGCTGCTTTGCCGAGATTCACGGACTCGGATAATATCGGGAGAAGAATCCACGGAGGGAACGACACGCGTGAGAACTTTACTCGAAGCGTTTGTCGCTATTACGCGTCAGATCTACTCGCGGATAGATGGCTAACAGGCTAAGATTTTCGACTAGTGGCTATAACTGCAAGAATTATCGAAACATCGTCTTAACTATCCTACACTTTCACTAGTCGGGGTAACGTCTTTATGTAGGAGACCTTGCTAGTCAGGCCCAAGAACGTGTCTAGGCCGATGGTCGTCTCACCATTAACTTAGAACAGACCAGGTATTTCGTCCGAATTTTCTTTATGGTTGTAGAAAGAATTCAGGCGAAGGTTTACGTCGTTTTAAGAACGTAAACTATATTTTGCAGTTTTGAAATATAATTTAATTACACGATATATTTACAAGAGTTTACAAGATGTCTTGGCGATAGTTAGCGTCGTTCGTGTCGTTTTGATGTTTGTACTGTCCCGTCTTCTTGGTGTCGTGTATTTTATATGTTAGTCTGTTGCTGTCATTGACTGTCGAGATGTCTAAGTGGTGGGTGTGTTTTTTCTCCTATTGGCGGTGTGTACATTGGAGGGATGGTGGGTGGAAGTGGAAGTTTAAACAAATTGTTAATTTGTTTCTAGGTTTTGGGAAATTCTAATCTTTTTATGGGGGTTGACTCGGGGGGTCAGTTTCGGAGGTCGAGGTGTCCGCGAATCGTGGGACGCTGGTTATAAAAGAGTAGAACATCGTGCCTTCGATTCGGGTCCCTTGTTCCTGAGGTTATGCATGGAAATAGGGATAAGGTAGAGGTCTGTCAAGGAAAGGCAAAGCTTTACTTAAATTCGGCTAATGGTGTGTTAGTTTATGAAAGTTGTTAGGATTGACTCTAATGGTGTTTTTAAGAGATTTGGAGGTCCGCGAGCCGTGGGACGTTGGTTATATTGAAGTAACCGTTGTCTCCTCGACTCGGGCTTCTTTCTTCGGGGTGAATGTATGGAGTGGTATACGAGGTCTGGGTTTTTCCTGATGGAGGTAGAGGTTCGAAGGATGCTAGTTAAATGTCTATTTGTCTATGAAGGATTCGCGTCTTTATTGAGGATTGTAACGATCTGTGAACTGGGAATGAGTGCAGGAGATACTTAAAAATATTCTCACCCCTACAGACAGCTGGTATTTCCACGAGCACGAAGCGTGAAATCAGCCAAGTGTCCGAAGTTTATTCGGTACCGCAAAGGTACCAATTTTTGCAAGTATCGGTTCCAAGTCGAACTAGTTTCGATTCGGTACCGGTTTTTCGTTTCTTTCTCTGGAACGCGCTAAATGAAGTCTTTACCGTTTTTATCACCGATAAACCCGACCTCGAATTAAGCTTCCTCCACGAAGATCCGAAGGCAGCCTGTCGAGCGCTATTGCGCCGCGGAATGGACGCACATTCGTCACGGTGTTCCCAGGAAATAGGGTGTCGTATAAAAATAGCGAATGAGGACGTCGTAAAAATGTGACATCGATGTAACCAGGAAGTCGCAATACCGCTCCCCTCGACGTCCGCCTATTTTCCTGTCTTTCTTCACTCCCTTCTCGCTCTCTTCTCGCCCCCTTTTCACCCTCTTCTCCAACACGCGTCAAAAGGTCGCGACCTCGTCCCCGAGTTGGCCAATTTTATCTCGCGCACCGGTCGAAGTTCGATTCGACGCGCTGTTAATAATCTGGCCTGTATCGATCGAGTCGGCTAGTGGCGTAAGGCTCAATTTCGGTCTCCATAAATTATTCATTGTTCCCGCAGCGCGGTGCAATGCGCGTGTAAGTAATACGTATGCGGAATACGATACGCGGAGATAATTGGCACGCTATCGAGCGCGTGGATCCTCCGATTAAAATCATAAATCAGACCTTTCCACTTTCCCCGAATCACCCCGTTCGTCGGCCGGCGTCGTTGATTATAATTACGAGCGTGCGAGTTACGAGGGCGAAAGTTACGATCGCGAGTCGGAATATTTTTCCAAGAGCAAGTTCGATTGTCGCGATTCGCGGATATACGAATGAGGCCGGCGAATACCGACGGTTTTTGTTTATCGCAACAGGGTTAATCGGTACGCTAAACAGCTGCAGTTGCGAGATAAGGCAACGTTCTAAACAAAATCGTCGTAACGAGCAATTTCGTTATTACACCGCGGCTGCGAGTACGATGCATCGCGGAATTTACGTTAACGCGTAGAGGGTTGCACACCGGGTAACGTTATCCAATTACAGTCATTTGCACGGCGATGAGCTTTCCAAAATATCGGCACTGCCAATTTGCAACGAGCAATTTCGTGGCATCGATGTTGCCACAATTCGTATTAATAGAAACGTTCGCGCGAATTTTTCATATTTTCCCTCCGATGATCGGAAAATAAACCAGCACCGACTAAAAGATCTGTCCCAATATCGACGTCCCGGGTCTATATAATTTTTCCCGTATTCGGGAACGTGCGAATTAAAACACCGTGAGATTTTATTTAAATAAACAAGATTTTTAATTAACGTCCCGATATACTCGGAATTTTTCTCGTTAGTTTACGCGGGATACATATATTCGAATTTCCTCCCTTTCGCGGTCGTTATGTTATTTACATATTTGCAGGCAAATACCCCGAATGGAAATGGAAATCTTGGTCCCGAACGTTCCATTCCGTTTCAAGCTCCCCCATTTCGTTCGACTCGTTCCCCCGTTGGCTCGAGTCGCAGTCGTTTAAGCAATCATTACTGTCTGATAATTCGCCGATATTTCGTCCCTGGAACCTCGAATGAATTGCCGGTACCGAATGTTCCGACGATTAACACGTTCGCTGCTGATCTAATTTCCATAACCCCTGTTACATATGTACGTTCTATAGTAACGAGTTACTTTTAACCGAGACGGTTATCCGGGTCGTCAAATTTTTCCTGAGGGAATTAGGAATTTTTCTTCTCGACGCGGGTATCATCACTGCGACGATATTAGCGATATTCCGCGTCGATTAATTCGTTCGATAACGCGATAATTTATTTACGCGTAAACGTACAGTCGCGTCGTAAAATTACCGAGCAACCAGGACGAGAGGTATAGTTTTGAGAGGGGGTCGAGTGGCATTCGCGCTGGAGAAATTGCAACGAAGCTTCCGCCCCATCTAGCCATCACGGGAAAACGTCGAAACGATCACGAGTAGAGTGGACGATCTCTCAGGTACCATTGTCGCGATACCAGCCGGCAAAATGGCGAATTACGGAAGTTTCTGTGGCGATCGGTGGTCGAGGGGCTCGCGTCGTTAACGCTTTAGCTCGGTCAGTCTAAATTCTCCTCGGATCCCGAACTGCCCTTATTCGGTTAAGCCCGGGCGGTCTCGCACTTAAGCTCGCATAATTTTCGTTCTAACTAGGCAGAAATTACGCCTCTTCTCTGTTTGCGCAAGGAAATTCGTGCATCCACCGGCCCCTATCCCTCCCCGCCGGTTTCCACCCCTTCTGGCAACCTTCTGCTTCTCTATTCCGAAGTGTCTACGCCCGTTCTCTTCTCGACCGTTTCGGAATTAACGTCGAGTGCAAAGGTTCCACCGACGCCGAGGGTCCTCGAAAGCCGAGCCTTTCTCACATTTTCTCTCCGGATTTCACTCGCAGCGAAAGAATACCCCGCACCAAGACGCCTCTGTTACGGAAACCTTTCCACTTTCTCTCCTCTCTCTCTCTCTCTTTCTCTCTTCGACCTCTAGCCCGCTCCTCCGCCACGCTGTGAATCTCGAGCGGACAAGATGGAACTCAACGAGATGGAAGATAGCGTACACTTTCGGAGTGATTCGTTGCGATGGCGTACGATCGAATTCCGAAATTGGATTCTTTTTCTTTAATTCCTTCGCGAATCGAAATTTCTCTCCGCCTCCTTCTCCCTCTCTCTCTCTCTCGACCCTCTGTCTCTCTGTCCGCCCTCCTGCTTCGGCTTCCGGCGGTCGATCCGTTAATTTCGAAGCGCCGGATTGGTTTGCGCGCCGCGGAAACCCGCTTGGAAATCGATGTAGCGCGTTTGAACCGCAGCTTTCTGCCTATTACCGACGAAAATGAACTCGCTAATGATACAATCGCGTAATATCCTGCAGCTGGATAAAGTTATCGGTAACGAACCCGGCGACCAGTCCGGATCGATGTTTGATCTGCCGGCGAGGACAGTTTGGCGTACTCGTTCAGCTCTGTCGCTGCTCGATTTCGCTCCAAGAGACGAATTTACCTAGCTACGTAATTCCGGCGTGTCGTTCGATTGCTCTGGCCGTCCTGATTGACTTATGATTTCGCGGCGCGAGTTTGCGGTGCTCGTTACAGCGCGAGAGCCGCAGCGGAGTACGAGCAAGCGTGGAGGGTCGGGACTCTCGAGTTTCTCGTTCTACTTACGATTAGAGTTCGAAATTAGGGCTAAGTCGCGTCCAACTTTCGTCTCGTTTCCCCGGCATTTCTTTTTTTCCCTCCCTCCGAGATACTTTTATCGCGTCTCGAGGGGGATGATCGAAATTGGATCGAACTCTCGAGCCGAGGTTTAAGATTTTATAGCTCCCGTGTAGAACGCTTTGAACCTATAAACTAAGAGCCTGCGCTTTATCATCGACCCTCGAGATCTGTCACGATTCCGAGACAATAAACCGAGCTTTCGCCTCGGGTCTTTTCAAAATATTATTTCGCAATTAATTTTTACTTCGTTGAAATTTTTTAAATTAACGAGAATATCCGAGAACTTGCGCTTGGCCAATTTCGCATACGCAATTTGCGTCGCTATAATCGAAAAGGGGAAGAAAAAACGGAAAGGATCGCAGGGGAGGGGAATAAAGTTTCCTCGTCTGGAGGAAATTTCAATCGCGACGCAATGGAAAATAAAAAGCACACTTACCAGTGTTGTTCACCGGATCTCCGCCTTTTACTGGCCAGCCGACGGACACGCTTGTCTTGGACGAGAAGCTGAAGTACGCGAGGAATTGGGATCTCGTGGTGTTCTCGTTTATCCTGCAGCAAATATAAATAGTTACTGAGCTGGGTATCTCGCACACACGGGATACTACGGAGTTTTGCGCGTCGAAACGTTAGAAGAAACCCGTGATAAATATTATGGGACGCGTTATTGCGTGATCCTCGCTGGCCCGCGATATTTACGGCGGATTCTCACGGCAGACGCTAGGGAAATGTACGAATTCTCCGTAAATGATGCAGAAGCCGACTGCCCGCGAAAGAACCGTCCAATTTTTTATCAATTCACGCGCACTGGTTACGAACGAGCCCGTGAATATGCATTTCCCGCTTCCCGTATGTAACTCGAACTTTTCTGAACGCTGGTATATACTATCATACTGCAAAAAATAATAATAACAACGAAAATGAAGAACCGAGAGGAGAGAGACTCGGAAAGATTTACGGTAAAGTTGCAAGAAGAAAAGAGAGTTTAATCCCAGACCAGACGCGCAGTTACGCTACTCGCGATTAGTCGATGAAACTCGTACCTGCGCTACTCGTCTGACCACAGACCTGGCTACACCACTGACGACTCGAGCCTTCGACCTTAGTTTCAGAGAAATCTGCCTAACCTCATTATGGTCCGTACATACGTGCTTCCGAAGGAATAAATCACGGAAAATATACGCCAAAATCGTTTTAAACATTTACCTCGATTTAACTAACACTCGCGATGCCTCGTCTTGTCCAAAAATTATCTGGAATATCACGCAAACAGCGAAGCATACGTCCTTAACCTCTTCGTCTACAATATCGTACAAGACTCGTGGTAAGGGAATCTGACCAAACACAACGCGGTGAAAGGTGTCGTTTATAGATAGGGTCGAACATGCACACCACGTGTCAGACACGTGGTTAGTTTTCGCCAATGTCTTGCTGTCTCGTATTATTCGTCGCTGACTTTGGACAAAATGGCTCGATGCGTGATCGATCTTACCGTTGATTATGGCACGCGTTGCCGGGACTCGAATCGCGCGACAAGGAGTTAAATTAGAAACGAAGGAACGTTGCACAGTCAGATTTGCCTGTCCGGGGGACCGGTTTCGAGGGTGTAGCCTGAAACGGTGCACGTGCAGGGAAACGGAAACGTGCTTGGGAAGTAACGGAGTATATCGGCGTGTTATTACGCGAAAACAGCGAGTGACGCGATGAAAAAGGGGATGGAAGCGATGCGACGTAGCTGGGAAAGTTTGCAGCGGGGCATGGAACGGGCGAGAAGTTGGCACGGCGATCGACGATGACGGCGAGGAGATGGTCGAACATGCATCTCGCCGTCGATGGAATCGCGTTGTTGGAAAAAAGCGACGGGGTCGGGCGATGTTTCTTCGAGATTGGTCGAGCGTCGATCCGAGATCGGGGTGGTCGTTCGCCGTGCCGGAGAGCTGTTTAGAAAGCAAGCACGTCCGAGTCCTTCGTCGAATGGACGAGAATCGATATCTGGACCAACCCTCTGGAGAAAGAAAAGAACTTCCCCGACAGGACCTGTGTCCTACGTAAAAACTTATCGCTCGCTGAATGTCTTCGCGCTTCTGACGTCCTCGAGGCTTTTTCCTTTAATTAAACCGATATGTCATCCGGGGTGCCCGTGTTCCCCAACGACTCGAGAGCTCTGCAAATCATTTTCCTTCCGAATTCGAAATGCGGGTGTTGCTCGTTGCAGCTGCACCCTATTGTAAACAGGGCAATTACAAAGAAGGGACGAAGATTATGGAAATGCAGCGCGGATTTAAATTAAAGCATCGAGCAGAGATCGCCCCGGTGATACCTAATGATTTATGCAGCATTCCAGCGTTCTGCGGAGGGAAAAAATGGATATCTGACTGGGAACAAACAGCGAGTTTTATTTTACGTGGGAAACGAAACGATGCCCCTGCAGAAAATTATACATTATCACCGGGGAACGCGCTTTATTCCGATGAATTTCTCGAAATAAAGTAATCCTATTTCCCGGGCGCGTATGTAAACTCGGGAATGAAACTACGGTGCGTAAATATTACAGCCCTGTAACAGGAACATGATAAACTTTGACGTTTACCGGTACGAAACTGTGCGAAACGTGAAAATGGAGAACGTGATATACCGAATGTCAGAGAGCACGAGGCAGTGTATTCCGTGTCGCAATGTTCCGCGCGAGGGATTTATCCCCTCGGAAAGGGTGCCTCGTAGAGCGACCCCTGTAAGGTCTGCTCCAAATTCTTGCGGGGAGTCAATCGTGTCAATCACGATCCCTAATCATCCGGAACTCGACCTGCAGCGTGCTCGGAATTATACGAGTCACGCCTGCGAGCTCAAAGAGCGTTAGGATTAGCAACAAGCTGCCATTTCTGAGCACAGAAACATGGGACGACTCTAATGACTCTTGTGCCTGGAGACTCGACACCGACGACCCCAGGGATCCAACGTCGGAAACTGGTTATCTCGGAGCGCGAAACGCGACACCAGGTATCCCGGGTCGGAGACCTGACTCGGACACCGAAGTTGACTACTTTAGGGTCATGGAACCTACCATCGATAACTCGCGAGTCATTCGATTCGACCACGATAACTTCTCGAATTCCGCCTGGTGTTAATGACGACATCCGAGACGCGGGTCTTGCTTCCACGATTGCTGGCTCATACGCTAATGATGACTTCCACCTCGTGCCCGTCTATAGCGACGATTCGTGACCCACATCCGATAATATTAACGACCCGGTCGTTCCAGTTCGATTTTGGAATACGCGTGCCGTATAAGCGATGACGTGCTCCCGAGAACTATCCAGGGCAACAGGCCGAGGCTGTCTCGCCGTCTCGCGATTTATGGCGTGGATTTAACCCGCGAGAGGTGTGCTTGCGGGAACGAGCAGTCCAGTGTCCGAGGATGACTCGCGACTCGGGGTCACGTAGCTGTTGGGTCTCGTAGGATTGTTTATCCAGAGGTTATCAGAGGCTTTAGGGAGTCTAATATCGGGGTTGCCTCGAAGAATACCTACGAACGTGGTTCCCAAAGGATTATCCGGGCATGAATCGGGACATGTCTTCCGATAAGAGCACCGCTGGAAACTGGACCGAACTCGTCCCGGGTTTCTCCGAATCTTGGAATACGACGCGAAATTGTCGGAGACTTTTAAACGACCTATGCCGGGTTCAAACGTTAAATCCGTCGAATCTTTTCCCATCTCTCTGCCCCGCCAAACCCTGGCCAATCCTCGCGCATAAACTTGCCGCTCGTCGCTGCAAATTGCATTCATTAGAGTTTCTCGTTACCCGTGGCCTCGCCAAAATCTACAGACAATTTAGCAATAAGGAATCGACCGGGGGAAGAAAGTTGCAGAGGGTACGATTCGAACTCACGGGCAGGTAAAGCCGAGACAACGAGCGGGGCTGAGATTCCGTGGACGGGGGTCGGGTGTACCGTCGCCGGTGCTTCCCTAATCGAATTACTCAGTTAGGTCAGGTTAGCTCTACTTGGGTTAGCGTCACAGCAGCCGGGACCAGAGGTTACTCGAGGCACTCGTAACTCCTAATTCTATTTGCCTACGATAAATCCTCCTTCATTCGTCTCTTCGTCAACCGTGCGATTCGATTAGCTGCCAATCCGTCTGCAGCTCAGCTCGGGGACGTCGCTCGATTCCCAAAGTTTCCGCGTTTCTTCGACGCTGCTGGCCACGTTTGATTTATGGAACACTTGGACCGAGGACGGTCTGTCGTTTCGGCCGTCCCGCGAAACCGTTTCGCGAACCTGTTCCGCGAATCCGTTCCGCGGCTCCCTGTTCCGTGATTTACGACCGCCTCTTCGAAACTCGTTCAACTTTCGGCCGCGTCTCGTTTCCTCGATCGAGGTTTTTCCTTTTCCCTTCTGGACCTTGAAACTTTTTCATCGATCCGGCCAGGAATCGGGAAACCGAGGCTATTTACGGGAGAAGCCCCCGATTCACGACCCTAGGCCACAAAAGGCTTCACGAGAGAAAGATAGAGCCGGCAGAGGGAGCGGAATCGATCGGCACGTGTGCACGAAAATCTGTCGAAGCTGTCGCGGCAATAGGAAGCTGAAGGCTCTCTTGTTAACATCGAAAGGGCTGACAAAGGGGCGGGCTCGGCCTCTTAGCTTCGCGCTTCTAGACGGTGAATAACCTTTTCTTCGGCCGGCAGCAGGGAGGAAACGACGCTACGGCAAACGATTCTTCTTTTTTTCCGCTCTGTTATTCTTTTATTAGACGCGGAAGGTAAGACTAATGGCCGGCTAGAGAAATTCGCCGGCCCTTCGAGCTGCGATTCCAGAAATACCCTCCGCTTTATAGAAACTCTCCACTTGTTATACGATTTAGACCGGATGACGTTTCATTTTCGAACGGTGCACCGTGGAAAATGTAAAATAACAACGAAGTAACGATACCGTGGTAGATATACTAACAGAAGATATACTAACAATTTACTTAAGATATGACGAAGGTACCGAGATAATTAGCCAAAGTTATACTCCAGGCCGAAACTCTTAACTACCATCAATCGTTACTCCCGTAACGTGAAATGGTATTATAGTTTCGAGTCGAAGAGACGAATTCGTGGCGCGTTCGCTGCAAGTGGAAAAGGTCAACGGCGACGTTTCACGGATTCTTGGCGTAGAGTCGAACCCGGCGTGATCCTCGAGAAAGAATTAAGAAGAGTACTCGTCCAACGGGCAAAGGTTTACGGACGTTCGTTACTGTAACGAACTTCTTTCCACGGAAGTATTCGAATTCCGATCACGTCTCTGCCTCTCCGAAAATCAGCTCCTCGCGAAACATACTCTTTCCTCTTCGCGCCAGTCTCCGGCTCTTCGTATGCGATTAAGGAGCCCGCGCTCTTATACCGATCACGTACGTCGACGGAATTGACAAGGATTAAATAAGTCGATTTAAACACGGTTTATTCAAATACTTTCAAATAATTTCGCCCGCGTTACAATCCTTAACCAATAGACGAAGGAGGTTCGACGACTCTCTGGCAAGTTCTCAGAAAAACCCTCCGTTTCCTATATATAATTTTTAAACTTTTCAATAGTAACAGTAATATTAAATTCAATAGTATTTAAGGTAGAGCCTGCTAGGTAGCCTCAGGACGAAACGCATTCCTTCCCTTTCCTTTCATCCCTTCTAGCACTCGTATCGAACATACCTGCGAACATCGACTTCAACCACCCCCCACACAATTTTAATATAATTCGAAGCTTCTCCAAATATAGCGTTCTAAAATTAAAAAATCCGATACACTTTGACCGAGTGAAACGTATTAATATTACACTACTTCACGTAAATTCTCTCATTCTCGCGTTATTACTATTGCTCCTAGAAACTTCTTTCGCGAGAGAAATTTCGATGTATAAGTAATTAAATCAATCTGCACCCCAAATTTGCCGCGAAACCTGCGTCCCTGCCTAACTCCATTTCTCCTCTAAGCCTTTGTCGAAGAACGGCCATACTCTGGCGCGATATTTCCCATTTCTCGCAAACCGAATTGGCCGAGGACGCGGGGCTTCGTCGGGCCACGAAGCCGAAAAGCAGGATCGTCGCGACGCCGTTAGGATCCGACTTTCCATGCAAATCGTGGACCGAGATA